TCAGGGCAGCCAATTCAGAGGAGAGAGAAGTTTTCGTAACAGACTGTCAGGGAGGAGGGGTTGGTTACCTGGCTTTGTGGATGAACCCGGTAAGCTAGCATCAGTTCTGGGGGGCCCATGCTCAGTCAATGCCTGTGTCCCAAAGGAAATCCTAGAACAAAGGAATAACAAGACAAGCTGTTTGGCATTTGTTGGTATGAACTACTCTCCTGGATGTTCAGGGCTCCTTTTTATCTGAAAGGTAAGCAAAAGAAATAAACAATTGTATGGCATCAGAAGTGGGCTCTGTCTTTCAGAAACACAGATTAATAAAGGATGTTCAGTCACAACTAACAGCTCGTTGAATGATGAAAGGTGAATTATTCACAAAAGGTAAGATTAGTGTTTTGAAATTCTTTGTCACAAAGACTTAAAGGGGAATGTGTTTACCTTTACAAAAGAACCATGGCAGGTACCAACAGGCCAGAGAGAAAGGATAAACCAGGTTCTTTCATAACGTTATTTTGTGGACAGGATGGCAATATGAAAGGCAAATGTTAGAATGTGGTTTGGCATACACTGGTTCCACCAGCTAGAGCAATGGTTGTCAGCTTTGGCTATACATTAGAATCACCCAGGAAGCTATTACACTTCCCCATTTGGCGTCCCAGACTAATAAATCAGATTTTCTGGGGGTGAGACACTAGCTTCAGCATTTTCGAACCCCCTCCAGATGATCCCATTGTGCATCCCAGCTTGAGAACCAATTAATTGCCCTTGGAAGGGAACCTCCACGACTCTCAGATCCACTCCCTCTCTTTCCTCTCAGGACATAGAGGTTTCTGTTGTGTCCGTTAGTCAAGGAGGACTAGTGTTGGGACACAGCAGAACAATCAGCACATGATAACCCCAGTGACAGGCATTTTAGAGCCTTGAACATGCCTCAGTTAATACGTGACATTTTTAACTTGTCCTCAGGATGTCTGGGACAACTGGAGACAATTTTAAACAAAACCACACTTGCTGGGAGGCAGACTCTGTATAACGTCTGCAGGGCAGGGCAGGGAGCCAGGTCCCTGTGGGTATCCTCCACCACCCGCCCCGCCCCCCGGTCCAGCCCAAATCTAGCATGGAGTATGGGCTCAATAAATGGGTGTGATTGAATGACTGTTAGGGGAAATGTCTTAGTTCAAATATTTAATCTTTTAGAGAAGAGACAGTGAACAGAGGACTAACTGAGCACCAGCAAGGAATTTATGACACTTTCCATGAATTGATTCTGAGATATGTCTGACTATGCTCAGTGGATGTGAAGAGGGAACATAATGGAAACATCTAAAATTTTAAGATGGTTTCCAGGCCCATAAAGTAACATGAGTAATGTTTCTTTTTTTTTTTTTTAAGATTTATTTATTATTTATTTTGAGAGAGTGAGAATGAGAGAGAGAGAGAGCACATGAGAGGGGGGAGGGTCAGAGGGAGAAGCAGACTCCCTGCTGAGCAGGGAGCCCGATGCGGGACTCGATCCCGGGACTCCAGGATCATGACCTGAGCCGAAGGCAGTCGCTTAACCAACTGAGCCACCCAGGCACCCATGAGTGATGTTTCTGAATGGAGGGGTGCCTTAGTGGCTCAGTCAGTTGAGTCTGCCTTCAGCTCAGGTCTTGATCCCAGGGTCCTGGGATGGAGCCCAGAGTTGGGCTCCTTGCTCAGCGGGGAGCCTGCTTCTCCCTCTCCTTCTGCCACTCCCCCTACTTGTGCACACTCCCTGTCAAATCAATAAATAAAATCTTTGAAAATATATGTCTGAATGGAGAGCAATTTCACTGAATTTACGAATAAAAAAATAAAACATGGGGCAAAGGGATCATAACAGTGATCTACACTTCTTTTCACGGGGAGAACTCAGCAAGCAGTGAGTCTAGGGCAGTTTATTGTGAATGTAATAATTGTGTATCCAATTGTAATTTCAATTCCATAGAACTTAAAATCACCAATAATCAAGTTTCCTGCCCTGAGTCACTGACATGGTCATGCAGGTGAATTGTGTTCCTGTGCACACAGCCAGCATCACATAGGCTATCTTATTCAGAAAAGATAAACATAACAGTTTTTTAAATGCCTAGGTATTGGGGATTCTGTCTCACTCCAAAAGGCTTTACTTGTCTTGAGAGGAAAATCTATACAAAAAACAATTCTTTGAAGTTTATTTGAACCAAAGAATAGTTACACAGTTCTCTTTGTGTTGCACAAAGAGAATGATTGTATTTCCTTTTAATAAGTGATTGTATTTTCTGCCTCAATGCATGTCTAAAAGGCTTCAATCATGTTATGGTCCTTTCTTATATCTTTGGTGTGATCTTTTATTATTTTTTTATCCTTTATTTTAAAACCAATATACATATATTAAAAATTTCTTTTTTTTAAAGATTTTATTTTATTTTGAGAGCAAGAGCACATGAGCGTGGGAAGGGGCAGAGGGAGAGAGAGAATGAGGGAGAAGCAGACTCCCCACTGAGCAGGGAGCCTGACGTGGGGCTTGATCCCAGGACCCTGGGATCATGACCTGAGCTGAAGGCAGACACTTAACCGATTGAGCCACCCAGGTGCCCCCTAAAAATTTCTAAGCATTAAAAAAATGTTAAAAGTTATTGTTACCATTTGCATTTTATCAATAGTATCCACTACAAAGAGAGAGGTGGTAAACTTTTTTTTTTTTTAGATATTTTATTTATTTATTTTAGAGAGAGAGCCCACAGGAGGGAGCAGGGGAGGGGAAGAGCAGAGAGGGAGAGGAGCAGAAGGTGGGAGGAGCACAGGGGGAAGGAGAGAGGGAGGGAGAGGGAGAGAGAATCTGAAGCCGACTCTGTGCTCAGCACAGAACCCCCGCTCCGGGCTTGAACCCATGACCCGAGATCGTGGCGAGAGCCGAAATCAACGGTCAGACACTTAACTGACTGAGCCACCCAGGCTCAGTCATATGTTCTTCATTTATTTATTTATTTTTTTTAAGATTTTATTTAACAGAGAGAGATACAGTGAGAGAGGGAACACAAGCAGGGGGAGAGGGAGAGGAAGCAGGATCCCTGCTGAGCAGGGACCCCAATATGGGGCTAGATCCCAGGACCCTGGGACCATGACCTGAGCCGAAGGCTGACGCTTAACGACTGAGCCACCCAGGTGCCCGAGGTATTTGATTTTTAAGAGAGGAATTTTATAACTGCTTCTTAAGGATCATTCCTATTGTTTAATTAACTTGCATTAGTGTCTACTTCTTACGGGACTTTTCTGAGGAATGTTACCAGGGTCCCTGAGGCTAAAAGATGACAGAATTGGAAAGGGGAATTTTCTTTAAGATATTCTCTGAAATCTGTTGATCTAAGAATCAGAGTAGGAGTTCGTTGGTTATTTTAGACTCCACTCCAGCATTAAGTCGTTGAGTTGCTCTTCAGTTATGGAGAGCACAGGTAGGCAATACACCGATGTGCCCAAATGGATCGTTGGATTTTGTTACCTTACCATATGAACAGAGACTAATGCTTCATGGGTATGTACCATTAATAAGAAAGGGAACCAGGGGCGCCTGGGCGGCTCAGTTGTTAAAGCGTCTGCCTTCCGCTCAGGTCATGATCCCAGGGTCCTGGGGGAAGGACCTCCGCAGGAAGCCTGCTTCTCCCTCTCCCACTCCCCCTGCTTGTGTTACCTCTCTTGTCGTGTCTCTATCAAATAAATAAATAAAATCTTAAAAAGAAAGAAAGAAAGAAAGGGAACCAAATGGAAGGGTTAATGGTTTTAGGTAAGCCCATCAGAAGTGCTGGAAAATCGATTTGAAGTATATGCCTGAGAATGGGTGAAACACTAGTGCTGTTTTCACATATTATTTAGATGGCCGTCGGGATGAACATCCATTATTTTTCTCTCCTTTCTCTGTGGTTTTCTTTCTGGCAGGCTTTGCCTCTTGCATTCCAGGAAGTCTGGGGGCAATGGTGGATTGTTAGCCAGTCATCCCCTTCTCCCCCAACTCCAACATAGCAGTCTATTTATATCCCATGCTAGCTTTCTCACTCCTAGAAACTTAAATCTTGAGCACAAGGATAAGGAGTTTTAAGCTAAACATTACCAAAACAGCATCCAAAATAACTGGCAATGATTTCCTGATTGAGATCCCTGGCCTAGTCTCCTTCCTTGGTATTGCCGGCTTCTTCAGCTTTGCTCTCCATTCTGTGTCTTTCCATAATTCCCTTTTGCTTCAGTTGGATGAAATGTATATGGCTTACAACCCAAGTATCATAACTGATGTAACATCTATTTGAGCCCAAGTCTCACACTCATTGGGCAAGCAAAATTCCAGCCCATGGCTCTCTTTTCTAGATTTTGGTGTAACACAAATTTATAGTGCTCCTTTTGTGGAATTAAAGAACATATGACTTTTATTGAAGGACTAATGTTTCCTACTGAAAAACTTTTTTACAAGAGAAAAATATTCCAAATATACTTCTAAAAATGACAATTAAGTCTTTGTTGATTGACTTACATTCAATTTATTTTAATTATAATGTTTGATCTAACAGAGTGTCCTGGCAGGACAGAAGGCTAAACTAAAAATCCTAAAGTAATCCATTAATAATCATATAAAATTTTTAAAAAACTACCATGCAAACTAACAGCAAAAGTACTTTATTTATTTATAACATCATTTTGTAAACAATCACACTGTGCATTTTTAAATTCAACAATAACAAATTTTTTTCCTTTAGATTTATAGCAAACCTGTGTGAAGTCAATGAGTTAATACAAGAGTGAAGACGAACAGGGTAGAACAATTTTTGAAAGTGTTAAGTTACAGCACTTGATACAAAGACAGATAACTATCTGTACCATAAAAATTTACATGCCACAAAACATAAATTTATAATTTTAAATATGCAGTAAAACACATTTATAAAAAAGCATCAACATTAATTTTATTATAAACCAGTGGATTACTCAGAGGAATATTAAAACTTACTAAACCTGGTAAATTTTGCAACTGAGGTAAAAATTTATAAGTAAACAAAACTATCATTTATAAGAGCCGAAAAGTAAATGGAAGGGCAGACAACACTTCCTGACGACTATGTCTACTCCTTGATATTCTGAAGCAGCTTCAGTAAATGTGACTCAATGACCTGTTGAACTGGAACAGACAGGTTATCAAGATCAAGACCACCGCATGTTGATCACAGAATTTTACACAGAACTATCAAATTCTACTTAACATCAACTTCTCCTTAAAATAAAGGTATTCCTCCTATTCTGAGGATATATGCCCAATAATATATATTCATTGTCTGAGGATGGTAAGATTGCAGTGCAATACTTAGTGCACTTAAATTTAGTCTGTCACTGACTTAGTGATTGTCCAAGTTACTGGATTCTGTTCTTGTTCAAGGTGTGTTCTAAAGAACAGAGAAAGGGCAACTTTTATAAGTAATTTGCTACAAAAATGTTAAACAAGTCTTGAATGTAAATAGGTGTGCACTCTAGCAACGAATTATTTGGGTTGGTGAAAAGTAATAGTAACAAACTCATTTCCAGACTTTATAAAGAATTTGTTGATTTTGCCCACAGTTAAGTTACAGTCACTAGTTAGGATAACATGCCATATTTTATGACTACAAGTGATGAGAACGTTTAGTCCATTAGTCTGTACTGTTTACAGAACTTTACCAACTAAAATAAAACCTGAGAGTTCTAAAATACTTACCACTTCTATAGCCCAAGGCTACCGCTAAATCCATAGAATTATACCCAGAGTCCGTTTCAATGGTCGGGTCAGCTCCATTTTCTGTACCAAAACAGAAAGATCTGCATAAATAAAATGAAAATGTAGATATGTTTGTCTGTGACTGGCTCATGTGCAAATGGCAGGACAGATTTTCAGCAAATTGGATATTTGCAGCATGGCCTAACAAAGTACAGAGCACACGAAGTGCACAGAGTTCACTTTGGTGCGTCAGCGGGAGGATGCCTCAAACAGGCGTCCTCGATAACAGTTGAAACTCATAAACAACTATAGACAAAACTTATGCACAAAGACACTGTGGGCAGAGAAAACAACGATGGATTCAGACACAACCTTCAAGAGGAAAGCAACAGGGACAAATGTTCCAAGCACAGGTGTGCTACGGGATGGAGCTGCTTATCACATGGGCAACTCTGTGGTAGCAGGTGCTTCGCAGGATTAAGGTATTTAGTAATAGGTAAGGATTCTCCTGAGTAATACCAGGGGAGGCCAGCTTGTAAGGAATTAAAATAAAGTCCTCACATGGTATTTTCCAAATATTTTCACTTTTATTGGCTTACCTAAGAGCATTTTTACACATTTAACATGATTTCCATGTACAGCATAAAGCAAAGGTGTCCCTCCATTCTGCAAAAGGAAAAGGTGATTTAGTTTTTCAAGGTGAGCAAGAGATGAATAATTTAACGTTGCTGTGAGACGTTTTACTAAGAACTGGGTATGTAAAAGTCGTTTAAGGCAATTTTCATATTTTGTGAAGAATATTTAAATCAGAAGTAATAACTGAGTTTGTACCATTAACTTTTTCTTCCGTGTTTAACTGCTAAATAATTTTTCCAGATGTTTAGTAAAATTTATTATGTCTCTCCAAACTAAATAATTCCTAGAATTTATTACAGTATTTTAAAAATCAGTATCATAGACTCACCCAATCATATTCATTTACATCAACTCCACAATCAAGCAGCATTTTGACAATATCTGTGTAGCCTTTACTACAGGCCAATGAGAGTGCACTTTCTCGACCTTTTCCTAAAAGCTGGGGATCAGCACCCTGCAGTGGCAAGTGGAGATAACAGACTTCAATTCATGTAAACAAGAATATCGTTATTTCTGTCAATAGAATTACAGTTCAGTACTTAGGTCAAGTACTGTTCTGGGGTTAATAACGTAAACTACTCACGGATGCCTTTATTATCAGGGTTGTCTGGAGGGCCTTCCTTCCTCCATCTCAAATGCTAACTCTGCTTTCACTCTTAAGTTACAGGAAGCTTCCCCCGTGAAGCTTCTCCTACAGCGCTGACCATACTTTTGTTCTCATTGCACTCTGAGGGAGCTGGGCATGAAGTTCTCTCTTGCTGTTTCATGTTTGCTTAGTCTTACTTGCCCAACTAGATCCAAGTTCCCCAGGAATATGAAAAGCTTGCAAATTTTTTTTGGATCCTCTACCATTACATCTAGTTGGCTGGAGATAGAAAATCTTTACTCAAGACTTAAGTAACTATACATATACATTTTCCAAAGCATTTTCCTTACATTCTGAAGTAGAAACTCTACCACAGCTATTTGCCCGTGTGCTGCAGCCCACATCAGAGGAGTAAATCCTTCTTCATCTGTGTGATTGATAACATTTTCTGTTTAAAAGAAAAACAATTTTTGTCATCTAATTTAACAACCATCTATTAATATCATTATGAAAATACTGGCATTCTAAAAGGTGGATTATACTACTCAATGAGGCTCACTTCCTGCTGACTTATTTGCTGAAGTCCTACTATGTGAGTTTGTACCATTAACTTTTTCTTCCACATGTTTAATTAGCTAATTAATTAATAAGCAAAGGTGTACAATAGTCAAACTATGGAAAGAGCCAAGATGCCCATCGACAGATGAATGGATAAAGAAGATGTGGTATATACACAATGGAATATTATGCAGCCATCAAAAGGAATGAAATCTTACCATTTGCAACAATGTGGATGGAACTGGAGGGTATTATGCTGAGCGAAATAAGTCAATCAGAGAAAGACATGTATCATGTGACCTCACTGATATGAGGAATTCTTAATCTCAGGAAACAAACTGAGGGTTGCTGGAGTGGGGAGGTGGGAGGGATGGGGTGGCTGGGTGATGGACATTGGGGAGGGTATGTGCTATGGTGAGCGCTGTGAAGTGTGTAAGACTGATGAATCACAGACCTGTACCTCTGAAACAAATGATACATTATATGTTAAAAAAAAAAAAGATAGTAGGAAGGGAGAAATGAAGGGGGGGGAATCAGAGGGGGAGACGAACCATGAGAGACTATGGACTCTGAGAAACAAACTGAGGGTTCTAGAGGGGAGGGGGGTGGGGGGATGGGTTAGCCTGGTGATGGGTATTAAAGAGGGCACGTACTGAATGGAGCACTGGGTGTTATACGCACATAATCAATCATGGAACACTACATCAAAAACTAATGATGTAATGTATGGTGATTAACATAACAATAAAATTAAAAAAAGATTAGGGAGGAAGATAGAGTGATAGGAAAGGGACAACAAGCAGAAGAGTTTGGTGTTTGCAGGAGTGTGTCTACAGGGAAAATGAACACAAGATTGTAAATAAAGATGTGGTTGCATTTGGAAAAAAAATTAAGCAAAGGTGTTCCTCCATTATTTATAATCTTGAAGTACAAAATTCTTTCGAAGGATATAAAACTCAGAAGTTACAAGGAAAAAAATAAATTTACCATTACAAAATGTTAAACTTTTGCTGAAAACATGAGAATCAAAGGAAAATGACAAACTGGAAAAAAATATGCAACATAAACAATAAAAAGTAAATTTCTTTAATTTAGATGAGGACATATAAATCAATATGTATCAGGCAGTTCACATACAAAAGAGCTTAAATAGACCATAATTTAAAAAATCTAAACACACCCAGTATGAGATACCATTTTTCACCCATGAGATTAGCAAAGATTAAAATCTGATATCTTGTGTCACTGAGGGTATGGGGAAATACAAACTCTAACTTTGGTGTGAGGACAGGACAAATATCTGACAATATATATAAAAGTGAAAAATCCATATACCTTTTGACCCAGCAAATAAACTTTTAGGAACTTATCCTATAGGTATTCTTAAAAAGTATGCCAACAAGAATGTTATTTAATACCGAGAAACTGAAATCAACCATCACCAAGGGGATTAGTTAAAAAATGAAAACATAGTATATATGTATGCAGCAATACAGTGCAAAATTAGGGACCTATTAAAAAGAATGAAATAGGGGGCACCTGGGTGGCTCAGTTGGTTAAGCATCTGCCTTCAGCTCAGGTCATAATCCCAGGGTCCTGGGATCGAGTCCTGCCTTGGCGGAGGGGGGGGTCCCTGCTTCTCCCTTTCCCTCTGACCCTCCCCCCCCGCTTGTGCTCTTTCTCTCTCAAAATAAAGAACATGTTTAAAAAAAATAAAAAAGAAATAAATCTTTATGTGCTCATTTGGAAAGATCTCCAAAATATTAAGTGAAAAAGTACAATACAGTGTGTATAATATTTTCCCTGTTGTTTACATAGTAAAAAGCAAATACATATTTCCACACATGACTCCAAAAATAAACAGAAATGCTTTCTAAAAGAGTTTCCTGAAAACATAAGAAATTTATAATGTTTGCTTTTGGGGAAAAGGTTATGGTGGTAAGGGAGGCTGTAACTTTTATACTTTGTAGTACTTTATTTTTTTTACTACCTACAGAGTTATTTGCCTGGTGAGATTACGCAAATATTTTTTTTTTGGTCTTTACACCTTCCTGTATTAAATCTAATAAGTCCAATTAAATATGTTTTAAGTACAGTTTAAAAAACAGGCTATTACCTTGTTCAATCCGAGTAGCTAGGTAGAGCATCTCTCCCTGAGCAGCCAACTGGTGAACAGATAAAGCTGAAATGATACCACAAAAAGCTTAATGTGTTTCTACCTGCAGGGTACACTTTCATCATGTCATTCATATTTGTGCAGCAACTCTTTTCTAAAACAAAAACTATTTTATTGTTTAAAAAAATTTAACTTAAAATATATCCTAACATTACAAGTAGCCATTCTGTATCTGAGATTTAATATACATTTAAGGCAATTCTGACATCTGCAAAGTATTGTTATCAGTGAATATGCAAACTGTTATGATCAACTATTAACAATGCAAATTGCTAATGATCTTATCAATCAAACAAATGGCTTAGGTATTTAATTTTTAAAATGCTAACTCAATATCCAAACTTAAAAGGATGTTGGGTCTAAAACACACAAAGACACACCTTTTGTCTTTTTATTAATTAAATCCTCTGAAATCCCAAATAGCATTATTTCAAGACTCCATGGGTTTTTCTTAACTTTTGGAGTGAGGTAGTAAATGGAAAAATGACTTCGAGAGTAAATTCTTGAATGTAGACCTAGGTGTGGCTAGTTAGCTCTGTGACCTTGAATAAATGATTAACCGTTTTTGTCTATAACATGAGGGACATGAACTGCATGATCTCTAGGTGTTTCTTTTCAGCTCAAAAATAATATGGTTGGACTATTTTTAAGAGAACATCTGTATTTAATTTATTCATCCATCCATCAATTCGTTCATTTATTTATTTTTTAGGACAACATCTTTAAGACAAAACTAAACAGGCACTGTTCTGTGAGGGTTCATCACTTGATCCTTGACTTCAGCAATATGACTGAGCAGCCTTAACAGAAAGGAAAGCAATTATGAAACACATGCAAATTTAATAAGTAGAACAAAAATGGTTAATAGCGAAGTAAGAGTCATGGACTCCTCCTGGCTTAACTATTACAGCATGTGATTCAAAATCAGGATGGATATGGTGTTTCCAAAGTAAAAACATATATTTTACCATGCTTTAGAATATAAATGCATTTACATTATATACTCAAATATAGTTCCTAATATCAAACTGCTACCTGTTTTCTCTCGTTAACATATCTATACTATTTAGAATGTTTTCTGATTTATATAGAAAAATTTCATTTTATTCTACATTTTTAAAAAATTGTGGATTCAAGGTTTTTTTTTTTTTTAAGATTTTATTTATTCATTTAAGAGACAGAGATACAGAGAGAGAGAGAGACAGTAAGAGAGGGAACACAAGCAGGGGGAGTGCGAGAGGGAGAAGCAGGCTCCCTGCTTCGACCTGAGCCGAAGGCAGACGCTTAACCATCTGAGCCACCCAGGCGCCCCTGGATTCAAGGTTTTAAAGGGGTTAATTTCATATTCATATTATTATAGTCAAATTCAAAATTACAATAGAAATCACTCAGGCTTTACTATAAATCACTTGCTGATCACTGATCTAATTTATAAGTAAAATGTAAAGCCTTGCACTCTAAGAACAGAAAAACACTCACAATGTCTTAGTTTGCACAAAGTTCAGAATGATAAATTGTTTGTTATACTAAGACTATAAAGGTTTTAAGAAAGAAAATCTGTAGGGGCGCCTGGGTGGCTCAGACTCTTAAGTGTCCAACTCTTGATTCTGGCTCAGGTCATGGTCTCAGGGTCCTGAGATGGAGCCCTGTGACAGCTCTGTGCTGGGCATGGAACCTGCTTAAGATTCCCTCTCTCCCTCTCCCTCTGCATCTCCCCTCTCCACCTCTTTCCCTTAAAAAAAAGAAAACTTGTATAAAATCTGTATGTGTATAAACAAATATAAACCTGTACTTGTATACATCTATATAAAGTCTGTATTAAAATCTGTATTTGTTTTTGGGGCACCTGTGTGGTTCAGTCGGTTAAGCATCTGTCTTTAGCTCAGGTCATGATGGCGGGGTCCTGGGATCGAGTCCCGCATTGGGCTCCCTGTTCAGCAGAGAGTCTGCTTCTCCCTCTCCTGCTCCCCCTACTTGTGTGCTCTCTCTTTCTTTAATAAATAAGTAAAATCTTTTAAAAAAAAATCTGTATTTGTTCTTAAACATGAAATATTTGATTATGCAGTAATAGTGTGAAAAAAATTTTAAATTACTAAAACTATCAAGATATCACTTAAGCTTTCCAAAATAGAATATGGATTTAAAGAAAATAATGTTTCAAAGCCAAATTCTTGAAAGCATTGTATTACTAATAAGAATATTTTAATATATCAGTGGGATATACTTACAATTTGCTAATAGAGGTGTGGTTGAGACCTCATTTCCTCTGTGTTTGTTGGTCAAAGTAGTTGACTGTTTTATGGGTGAGAAGTGCTTTGTTGTAGAGGGAGTGTAGACATGTCTTACTTGAATTCCCGGAGAAGGAGACGTATGGATATTGCATTCAGCTAAGTAAAATAAATTTAAACACATTAAACTAACATTTTAATGACAAAGCATTTCAAAGTTCTATGTCAATGTTTACATTAAAAAAGAAATACATGAGGTATATCTTCAACCATTTCTCAAGTGATATTATTCTTTGCTATAAAAATTCTGTATTATCACAGTGAAAGTTCCAGAAAAAAATCTGTATTAATCTTGAGTGATTTTATTCTGAGATTAGATTTTTTTATTCAACAGATTGTTATAAAAATAAGTCTACAATATAATGACAAACTTCACTGAATTAAAGCAGGGAGCTGATATCAATCAAATATTCATGGAATAGGGAATAGTAAGGTAATTCATTTCTTAAAAGGCACAAATAATTTTTTTCACCTATCATTTTAAAGGGTACAATAAGGGGCGCCTGGGTGGCTCAGACATTGAACATCTGCCTTTGGCTCAGGTCATGATCCAAGGGTCCTGGGATCAAGCCCCGCATCGGGCTCCCTGCTCGGCAGGAGGCCTGCTTCTCCCTCTCCCACTTCCCCTCCTTGTGTTCCCTCTCTTGCTGTGTCTCTCTCTATCAAATAACTAAAATCTTTAAAAAAATAAATAAATAAATAAAGGGTACAATAAGAAACTTTAATTTGTAAATAAACAAAGGTGAAGAAAATTTTTAAAAAAAAAATCAACATATACTTATAGATATCAAATAACATGAAATTATTTAATTTTGGTTTTGGTGAGATTCTAGGAAATCACATTAAAATATGACTTCCAAACTCTCTCTTCCAAATCATATTAAAATATGACTTCCAAATTCAAAATCTCATGATCAGAAAGGAAAAAAAAAACAACAAAAAAATGAAATAAATGAAAACAAATGCAGATATTTATACCATAACTTTCAACCTTTAAATAGGACAGATGCCACTTCCAGGTCAGAGTTAACCTGATCTTGAATATTTTTACTATCCTCTTCATTTAAGGACTTCACAAATCGAGAACACACGTTCATATCAAATCGGTTAGGTAATATGAATTTCATTCCCATGGCAACACCCTGAGCTGATCCTTCTTCTGCATTCGAGTCCAGCTGATGTTCTATTTTAATGTCTGGCATGCCAGTTAGACTGTAACTGTCGGGACACTCTTCCACTATCAGCTGAGCTCCAATATCCAGATTTGCTGATGTAGCCATGATTTCAACTGCAGTTTCAATAATTAAAACATTCCTTCATGATTTCCTCTTTGTTTTATACGAGTGGTATCCACTGTGCTCCTGGAATTCAGATATTGAAAAATCTGGAAGAAAAAAATTAAAAATATCATTATCAACTTAGCTAAAGTACACAAAATAGCAAAAAGTGCTCTTATAAGCACCTCCACACAATAGTAAGCATATACAATGTTCAGAGGCAGACACCTGGGTACAAATCCAAGCTTCGCCACTTATTAGCCGTGTGAACCTGTACGTTACTCAACCTCTCTAAGCCTCAATCTCACCTGTAAAATGGAAGTGTCACCATTAACCTCCCAGGATTTTGGTAAAGGACAAATGAAATATAGTAACATTCTCACCTTCATCACTAGGTTTCAACAAATTTTACTCTTTTCTCCCCTTTCCTATTCCTGAACATTGCCAAATGAACAGAAGATCAAGGTAACAATGAAAATAAACTTTCATGCTCCTTCACCAAGTCAGAATAGACCAAGAAGATGGCAGCTGTGAATCAGGAAGAGAGAGCCCTCACCAGAACACAACCATGCTGGCACCTTGATCTTAAGACTTCCCAGCCTCCAGAACTACCCGAAATTCCTGCTACGGCAGAAGCCCACAGAGGACTTGGAGGCACTTCATCAAAACGGAAAGAAGCTAATTCTTACTGGGACAAAACATGGTAAAAAAATTCCTAATATCATCTTTTTCTCAAAAATTTGAATTTGTTGTTTTCAATAGTTCAAGTGAGTGATCCTTTCATTGATTGCTAGATTCTTTAAACCACCTTCTAATGTTAAAGTGCCAAGACAAACATTAAAAAAAAAACCCCTTTCATGTGAAAACTTTAAACTCTTACCTGTAGTTCATCTTTTAACATGCTATGTTTGTAAGCGGCTCTCAGTTTGAATTTAAGATAGAACTCATGTTGTACCCATGTCTATTAGCATCTACAACACCTGTGATTCTTGGATAGTCAAAGGCTTTACAAAATTTTGGTTATGATGAACTGAAGATATACTTATCAGTTTTTGTTCGGCTCAAATGTTAGTAACTTAATATAGGTTTTTATGAAAACTGTTACTACAGAAACTATAGACTGGCTTCCTCTGCCTTATCATCTCTAGGGCATTAGGATCCAATTATAATTTCTACATCTCAATTTTTGTAATAAGCATTAAGAAATAAGAATTAAATATAAATAACAACTGATTTTTTTCAAATATAGATAATCAAGACATGAATTCAATAAATGCAAACTCTCAAAGCATAGATTATAAGCACACCTGTCATGGAATCATTACTATTGTTTTATAATGAGTTTTTGGTAATCGCTGGCACTTCCCTATGAGCCTTAATATAATTTCAAGAAAATTCCATTATTGTACCTAAAATTGTTTCTAAAAAAAAATGAAGAACTCCAAGATTATAAATGCCTGATGCATATAATCCCTGAGATGGGGGGAAGAAAATTAAAACATCTAATTAATCTTTTCATGTTAGTGTTTACTGCCTCTTAGCAATTTTGAGAGGATGCAGGGTGTTTTAACATTGGAATTTAAAAAGAAAAATGCATTATGATCACAGTGGAGCAGGGGCTGGAAAACCACACATTTACAGATAACTATTTTCAGTTTTAAAACATTTTCCAAGACAGGTCCTTATAACAATCCTTTGAGTAGTGACAGTAGTTACCTGTTATTTCCTATGCAGAGAAAGAAAAAGGGAGCTTATACGTTATGACGGACCTATCCAGCTATTTGGATAGATCACCTTGACCACGAAAATAAGCAGCAGCACTAAACTAATCCAAACTTCCAAGGGACAAGAGGTGAAGAAATAACAAATTGTAATAATAATAATAAAAAGAAAGTAACAGGTAACAAAGTCAATATACTTCAGCAAAAGGAAAGAAGGAAACCGGAACAGAAAATGAGTTGTGATTCAAATGGAGACGGAAGCTCAATGCAGAGGGCTTTAAAAATGTATTGGAAGAAGGGAAAAATGAAGGGGGGGAATCGGAGGCGGAGACGAACCATGAGAGACGATGGACTCTGAGAAACAAACTGAGGGTTCTAGAGGGGAGGGGTGGGGGGATGGGTTAGCCTGGTGATGGGTATTAAAGGGGGCACGTTCTGCATGGAGCACTGGGTGTTATAGGCAAACAATGAATCATGGAACACTACATCAAAAACTAATGATGTAATGTACGGTGATTAACATAACTTAATAAAATAAAATTTAAAAAAATGTATTGGAAGATAAGAACTGTGTTTCCTGAGGGAAGAACCATCTCCCACAGACTCCTATCCAGAGCTGGCCTAAATGCAATCCCCTGAGCTCTCTTAGCACACTGCATTTATTTCTGTTTTTAGTATTTATCATTCTCTTGAAAGTTTCCACTTAAACTCCAAAGACATTGAAAACTTCTCTAGGATGGAGACCACTCTTACTAACTTTGCACACAAAGCAGAACCTGATCCTATCAGGTGATCCAGAAATGTTTTCTGATCTGAACTTTAACATTGTTTTAAATTATTTTCTATACTGAAATGATCCTGCAAGACGCCCAACAAAGGCTTGCTAATTAGATTTGGCTTTACATTCTCAACATCACTACTAACTAGCTGTGCAACCCTGGACAGAAAAATCACATACGTTTTCTGAGACTCATTTTATTAATCTATACAATGTAGATGGTTGAAATAGACATCTCTAATACTCTTTCTAGCGCTAAACATCTTCCACGTCATAAATCAGAGTTTACAGACGGAATTACAGGTCTTTGAGGGGAGAACCTGGGGGAGGAGGGAGTGAAAACAGAAGGCTGTCTTGCCACTACTCTAGAAGAGATGAGCCAAATTGGTTAAGCTAAGATTCTGAAGACTAGGAGAAAGAGAGGGGAAACATGATCGAGAGTAGGAGGCGGTGAGAAAGAGGTACGGCCAAGGAGAGCTAGGATCACCTCGATCGATCAGAGCCCAGGGATGAAGAGAGAGACACACTGGGCAACTGTGCTACTCCGCAGTGGATCCTAGTAACAGGAGCCCCCTGGTTCTTCCTAATCTTTAAATTGTCCTACAAGGAAAGGAAGGTGCTATGAAAATGAATGATGCCTCACAGGCGACAGGTGTCCCAGGGTCCCAGGACAGAAGCCCGCTGGAGGGGACACTTGTAGGAAGGGAAGTCCGTTCGGTCGCCACCCGCCAGCTCTGCCGGAAAAGTCCCAGCACAGCTCAAATACTGCGGGTGGGAACTCTGGTTCACCCACGGCGGGAGGGTCAGGGGGACAGGGGCCGGAGGCCGACTGGGTGGGAGCGCAGGGCCTCGCGACTACCTTCGACAGCCGACAGCGAGTCGGGCCTTTCCATCTGCGGCCACAGATTCACTGCAGGCCCCCAAACCCCGGCTTGTTTTGACCGCGACGTCACTTCCGACTTCTTCTTTCGGTTTCTGACCAAAAAAACGTTCCGCGTCACTGCAGCCTACAGGCCTTCCAGGTTTTTTTCACCGCCGCTGCTCGGTCTTTATTGCCTGAGTACTACAGAGACTGGGTCACTTCAGTAGACCCTTCTGGGTCACTAGGGTAACACCCGTCTGGCCGCCGGATCCCATCTCCGCCTCTCCCATCGCCCCGCCCTCCTGACCCTCCCCTGCGACTCTCGGGCTGCGTAAGGTGCGTGAACTTACGTCATTACGTCACTTTTGTGCGACTGGCCTGGCTCTTCATGTCTTGCGACCTGGCGGCTCCGTGGAAGGTGAGCGTGATCTTCCGCAAGTGAGCCTAAAGAGTCTGGGGAGGGGACGGAATCCAAGAAATTCTCCTTGGACGCAGAGTGTCCCGCCGGGCAGGTGAGGCGGTACGTAGGTGAAGGCGGCTCCCAGTGGGGGTAGTTCAGGCTCAAGTCGGGCCTTTCTTGGTATCTGGCATGCTCCTCTGGGGCTTCCCAGTCTTCACCGAACGGCTAAAATTCCTTAACCAGCCTCTCAGGATCCCCGCGATTTAGCTTCGACGTAGATTTGCCTCTTCTACAATCACATCCTCTCTTCCTGTGCACCATTATTAACCCGCATCCCTCCAAGGCATTGGGCACATTTCCATCTCTGTCTTTGCTTATGATCTCTCGATTTCGAATGCTGCCCTTATCCCCCGCGCTTGTGCCCATCTTAAGAGGTCAGTCTGTTTTAATATTAGACGTCAAGGCCCAGTTGAAATGCACACTTTGAATCTTTCTGGGAGCCGCCCGGTTAGAATTAAAAAGCTGTTTTGAGCTCTTAGTACTCTGTACGTTATCTATAGCATATATTTGATATTCTGCATTGTATTGTAGTATCTGTTATTAATCTAGTCCCAGTTTCTCCGGCTCTGACCTCTCCCTGATCATTTTCTTCTTACTCATTTTTACATCATTTCTTGCCTCCACACCTTTGTATGGTGTCATGTTCCCCCTCCCTCACCTCCAGTGCTGTATCTCACTTTAATCTGGCAAACCACTGCTACTACTCCTCACTTGCTTTTTTTTTGAGATTTTATTTATTTATTTGTGTAAGAGAGAGAGCCGCGAGCGCGCGCACATGCAAAGGGAGTGGCAGGCAGAGGGAGAAGCAGGCTTCCCGCTTAGCAAGGAGCTCGGTGCAGTCTCCATCCCAGGACCCTGGGATCAAGACCTGAGCCACCCAGGCGTTCCTGCTCCTCACTTGTAAACTTTTAGAGCTTTAAACTATTTCTCTCAAGGCAGAGTTATGTACTCCTTTGCTGATATTTTAGTAATGTACTGTACTACAGTAAGGGTCTGAGGCCTGCACGCTTGATTTGGCCGGGTGGCTGTTTTCATCGGTCAGCCAGTGAGCCTAGAATGTTTTTTACAGGTGAATATATGCAACCTGATGATAGGAAACACTAACCTTGAACCCGAAGTCAGTGAAATGTTTTTCCCTTCAAAATTCTCAATCTTTTCATTCATAAACATAAAATTGTACTCATTTGGGGGGTTTTGTTAGTAAAAAATTGGGATTTTTTTTTTTCCTGCTTGCTTCCTTGTAATTACATAATACTGTTCATTTTGCCTGTTGGCCTGCAAAGCCTAAGATATTTATCATCTGGCCCCTTACAGAAAACGTTTGTTGACTCTTGATGTCAAGATGTCTTGATGTGTAGCAGTGTTCATATTATAGACACCACTTGTGCCTTTAATTTTGTGTTTTTCCGTAGAACCCAGCACAGTGCTTCCTTTCTTTTCCTTCCCCAAGTTTTCTTTAAGCACTTAAAAAATATCTTCCAGATACGAAATGTTAGTTTAGTGGGAAAAAGAGATTATTACAAATTCAGTGTTACTATGCACACAGACAGAAATCTGCAAAATGAAGTGGAGTTAGGAGTAGAGAGAAGGATGGAGGATATGATCCTTGAGTTGAGCTTTAAAAGATAAAAATGAAGTGGGTAGAGATCATTCCTGGCAAAGAGGACAAACGAGCAGAGACAGTGAGAGAAGAAAGAGCATGGTGTGTTAAAGGGAATAACAAAGAGGTAGAGCTGGAAAGGTAAGTAAGGGCCAGATCACAAGCGGTGTTAAGAAGCTAGGACCTTTGTTTTCAGGCAGTGTTGTGCTTTGTAGCAAAAGCTGGATTTGCTGGGTAGTTAGGTCTTGCTGATGGCTATTTCAAAGATGGATGAGGGAGTCAAGGGGCCCTTGTACTGCACTATTGCTGTAGATGAGAAGATCTGAGTTAGAGCAGTGAAGTGGACATGATGAAGTTTAGGGAGGTAAAATCAGCAGATCTTGTTAACTATTTGGATGTTAAAAGTGAAAAGGAAGGACAAGTCAAGGCTGATTCCGTATTCCTGGCTTCTGCCGATCACAGCTAAAATGGAGACTATTGGAGAGTGTGAGGGCACTGTTCTATTCAACATTGTATGTCCTGACCCTAGAACAATGTCCTATACATTGTAGGTACTTGAATGAATAGAAAAGTTTGCTTCCTTTTAATTGTTGATTGCTATGTTTCATCAAAAGAACTTTTAGAATATGTCATACCTACTTATTTTGGTGTTACTGGGGTACTGTTTTCAGGTTTTTTGGAATAGATGATGAGTTGCACCACTGATAAAATGAATCTCTTTTGCAATTGAATAGTCCTGGAGAGACATTTTGGCTTCATTTCATGTCAGTTAAAAGTTTTATTTTTATTTTATTTTTTTAAAAGATTATTTATGTATTTGACAGAGAAAGAAAGAGCGCACAAACAGGCAGAGGGAGAGCGAGAAGCAGGCTCCTTGCAGAGCAGAGAGCCCGATATGAGGCTCGATCCCAGGACCCTGGGATCATGACCTGAGCCGAAGGCAGATGCTTAACTGACTGAGCCACCTAGGTGCCCCCAATTAAAAGTTTTAATTCATTTTTATCCTATTCTGTTATTTAAATTGAGAATTTAATTTCAGAATTGCTTTATTCTTGTTTCTTTTCTTACTGTTTAAACTTTTTTAAAATTAATTTTTTAAGCTTTTACATTTAAATTTCTACATCAGTATATTAACTTATTTTAAGCTTTTAAATTTAAACTTCTGCATCAGAATATTAGCTTTTACTTTTATTTTAAGCTTTTAAATTGAAAGCTTCTCTGTTAGAATATTAGCTTTGTTTTCCTTCTTGGTATTGCTCAGGCTTTCAGGAAGTCAAGACCCTAGTCTATGTTCATATAGATTAAATGTCGTCCTAAATTTAGTTTCAGGAAACTTTTGTATTTGCAGTTTCACCTTACTGTTTTCTGTTATTAATAAATAAACAGTCTAAGCCAGTGGACTTTTGCTTTGGCTACTGGATGGCTGAGGCAGATTTATTTCCATGTGTTGTAAATTGGTTAGTTAGATGTGAGAACATTAGTGTACAGCTTCTGTATAGCTGAGTGGATGGTGCACTTTGGGAGCCCTGTCTGTATTCTACCTGCTTCCTTTAGATTGTCTCTTCTGTGTTAGAGTTAAATGATTTATTGGTCACTAATTTATAAGCTAGCACACAGGCTTTTGAAAAGACACAGAATGAAAATGGTGACTGTACAGGTTTAAGAATAATATGTTTATATAAAATATTTTCTTTTTCAGACATAAAGCAGAGTCACTATAATTATTTCTAACGTCAATTTCAAACTACTTACCCTTGGATAACAGTCCAATTATATGAAATTATGGCTGGTTATAAGCCTGCAGCTATTCAGACATATCCTGTACTTGGTGAAAAAATCACCCAAGACACACTGTACTGGAACAACTATAAGGTAGGTGTAGATGGTAATGAGGGGTTTGCATTTATGCTTATTTCTCCAGCATATGTTATACTCTGGTAGAGAACTGATAACTAAGAAGAATCTGTCAGCAGTTTACAGTTTGGGTGGAAAATTTGATATCTGGTATTTTTTCTTGGAAATTTTAAATTAAAAGTCCATGCTGCTTAATGATTTTAATCATACAAGTGCCTAGCAAAGAATAGATGATTAATGACTGCTGAATGAAATAAATTTTTGAATTTGAATCTTATATGCAAGATTTTTTTTTTTTTTGCCTTTCTAAAACTAAGACAGAAGGAGGGGAAATCGGAGGGGGAGACAAACCATGAGAGACTATGGACTCTGAGAAACAAACTGAGGGTTTTAGAGGGGAGGGGGGTGGGGGGTTGGGTTAGCCCCGTGATGGGTATTAAGGAGGGCATGTACTGAATGGAGCACTGGGTGTTATACGCAAACAATGAATCATGGAACACTACATCAAAAACTAATGATGTAATGTATGGTGATTAACAGAACATTAAAAAAAAAAAAAAAAAGGCTCACGGGGCTGTGACCCCAGCCATGCAGCCTATGGTCCATTCTTGCTTGCTTCCTGTAGAAGTAGGTCTTCATCATCTCTTCAAGACCTACTGGTTGCATTGGTTCTCCTAATGGTACACAGTGCTCCAGTTATGGAATGGATCAGTCATGGGTATAAAAGGCACAGCATAGGGAATCCAGTCAGTGGTATTGTAATAGCATTATTTGGTGACACATGGTGCCTGCACTTGGGGTGAGCACAGCATAACATACAGTGCTGTCCACTCTGCTGTACCCATGTCATATGGTGTGTCCATTATACTTCAATGAAACAGTAGACATAAAAGCACACACAAAAAAATAAAACTAAGAAGTGATGCAGAATTAGTTCTTCTAGACTATCTACAAAGACAACTTTTTTAAAAAAAATGAACAATTAAATGGAAAAATGGAAAAGATTTGAGATTGGGAGGTTTATGGAACAAGAAATTTAAATGACCAGTAAATATATCAAAGAGCTGCAGCTTCACTCATAATTAAAGAAACAAAAAACAGTAATTTGCTATTTTTCATCTCTTATAGTGGCTCAAATGAAAAATTTTGATCATCATTGCTACTTGAGAGAAGAAAATTGGTGCAGACTTTCTGGAGGGCAATTTGACATATCATGATAAAGATACCTTTTAGCCATTTAAATTCTGCACTTTGGAACTTACCTCAATGATTATACTCCCCCAAATTTGCTAAGATATATGTTTACGGGTGTTTATTATAAAGTATTACTTTTTTTTTTTTAAGATTTTATTTATTTATTTATTTGAGAGAGAGAGAGAATGGGAGATAGAGAGCACGAGAGGGAAGAGGGTCAGAGGGAGAAGCAGACTCCCCGCCGAGCAGGGAGCCCGATGCGGGACTCGATCCCGGGATTCCAGGATCATGACCTGAGCCGAAGGCAGTCGCTCAACCAACTGAGCCACCCAGGCGCCCCTAAAGTATTACTTTTAATACTAGAAATTTTTGAAAAATCTATGTCTGTTGGTAGTGGACTGGTAACGTAAATGATGATGTATCCTATAATGGATGGCAAATCTATTGATCATATCAAAAGCTAAGATGAGTTATTAAGTGGAAAAAAAGCAAGGTGCAGAACAGCCTGCATCGTATGATCTTTGTGTTAGTTACAGAATACATGGTTAAATGTATTCTGATACAGACATAACTCTTTTTCCTCTCAGCAGTAATCGCAGAAAACTCCACAGCTAAAGAGAAAGAGTGGGGTATTGTTTTCCAGCCATATATTTATGTACTTTAATGGCAACCAGGATAGTCTGGGTGATGGCATTTGAACCTTTTTTGCTTTCTTCATACTTCTGTATTGAATACATCCTAGTAAATGTTACTAAGAACAGAGAGAAATGATCATTAAGAAATTATGTAATGCTTAAAAGGTCTTACCAGTTGTAACTCTGTTAATCCTTTGTATTGTTTTTTATTAAGACCCCTGTTCAAATCAAGGAGTTCGGTGCAGTGTCAAAAGTAGATTTTTCTCCACAGCCTCCGTATAATTATGCTGTCACAGCTTCCTCAAGGGTAAATATAATATTAAATTTATTTTCGCTTTGTGTAGTTGATATTTACTACTGATCTTGAGCCATCTGGTTAAATACTGTGTTTTTTATCTTTTTGTAGATTCACATTTATGGCCGGTACTCTCAAGAACCTATAAAAACCTTTTCCCGATTTAAAGACACGGCATACTGTGCTACTTTTCGTCAGGATGGTAGACTGCTTGTGGCTGGCAGTGAAGATGGTGGAGTTCAGCTTTTCGATATAAGTGGGAGAGCACCCCTCAGGCAGTTTGAAGGTCATACTAAGTAAGAGTTGTTGTTTTTTTTTGTCATTGTAAGCTTTTTGTATGTTTGTTTTTTGGACTTTGAATAAAAACATAGAGCAGTTCTCTGAAGATTATGTGCCAGTGTATACTTTCTTTCCTGGTTGTTCTAAGACAGAGTACCTAATCTTTTTTAAGATTTTATTTATTTGACAGAGAGAGAGAGAGATCACAAGTAGGCAGACAGGCAGGCAGAGGGAGAGGGAGAAGCAGGCTCCCTGTTAAGCACAGAACCCAATGTAGGGCTCGATCCCAGGACGCCAGGATCATGACTTGAACCAAAGGCATATGCTTAACCAACTGAGCCACCCAGGTGCCCCGACAGAGTACTTAATCTGGTCCAGTCCTATGGTCCAGTTTGATGGGGCTCATGAATTGCCTAGAATTATATGTGACATTTAAGAAATGTATATTTGTTTAGGGAGATTTCCTATAGCTTTCGTCTAATCAGTGAGTTCTGTGACCAGTTGAGGTTATAAACCACAGTTCTAAAGGCAACCTCACAACTATAAATGAGAACTCTATGGGCTGGACTACTTTCGAGGTTCTCATTTGAAGTTAAGTTGAAAGGTTGATTTTTTTTCTTCTTGAAGTTAATATTTTGCCACATGATAAATTAAATGGTCAGGGCAGTTTTATATTATAACTTTGTATCAAGATTATCTGGTTTGCTACTGATTTGAAATCTCAAGTTGTTTTTTATAGTGTATTATCAGGATGGTCTTTCCCCATCAGGGAAACATTTAAAATATAACAGAAATTCACTTCACATGATCTTACTTAATGGCAAGTCTTCTTAGAATTTTGTAAGGAACTATCCATTTTGAAATTTTTTAAATTAAAAGTACCTTTGCTCTAGGGGACGCCTGGGTGGCTCAATCGGTCAAGGGTCTGCCTTCAGCTCAGGTCATGATCCCAGGTCCTGGGATCAAGTCCCGCGTCGGGCTTCTCGCTCAGTGGAGAGCCTGCTTGTGCTCTCCCCCTCTCTCTCTCTCTCTCTCTCTCTGACAAATAAATAAATAAAATCTTTAAAAAAAAGTACAGGGCGCCTGGGTGGCTCAGTGGTTAAGTGTCTGCCTTCGGCTCAGGTCATGGTCCCAGGGTCCTGGGATTGAGCCCCACATCGGGCTCCCTGCTCAGGGGGAAGCCTGCTTCTCCCTCTCCCACTCCCCCTGCTTGTGTTCCCTCTCTTGCTGTGTCTCTCTCTGTCAAATAAATAAAATCTTTAAAAAAAATAAAAATAAAAATACATTTGCTCCAACATTTAGAACATTTATTTAGCAGTTTTGTAGAAATGTTAGCATACTAGAAAATATAATTTTAAGGCTATTATTCTTAACTTCATAGAGTAGGGGTATTTAAAATTTTAAATTGGCTTAGGGACAAACACCTGTTTTAAAGATTTTCTCTCGTAATTTCCCCCTACAATTACTCCCTGAAACTGAGCTGCTTTTTTTGTTATTTGGGGAAAAGGAGTATTTTATGTTAGAAGATGCCAGACATAGAATTTTTTTCTTGCTTTTTAATATATTGATTCTTGATCTTTTAGAGCAGTTCATACGGTCGATTTTACAGCAGACAAATACCATGTGGTCTCCGGGGCTGATGATTATACAGTTAAATTGTGGGATATTCCAAACTCCAAAGAAATTCTGACATTCAAAGAACATTCTGATTATGTGAGGTGTGGATGTGCTAGCAAACTGAACCCAGATCTGTTTGTAACAGGTTGGTGAACTGTTTTTCCCTCCTGAAGTTGATAATTTAATTGTGATGTAAATTGATACTGCTTTGGAATAGAGCAGTTTAAAAATTTTTTATAAAGGGATATGTTTCAGCTTATCTAGTTGTTTGATTTTCTTTTTCTTCTTTTGGTGATTGTTCTTAACTGTCCTCCAGACATGTTTGGAAGCATCAGGCTTCCCTGAAAACATGAGTGTCAGAACTGTAATGGTTTTAGTACTCTGGTTTTCGCAGAGCCTCCAGCAGCCAAGAAATAAAGATAATGCAGTGCAGTGTTTGTGGGTGCTTTCACAGAGGTTCCCAGGTGATTCAGTAGCGATAACAGCTTGAAGATCCAAATAGTTTAAGATCCTGTATGACATAGTTTAGTATAGTATAGTATAATGCTTTTTTAGGAAGCAATCAGTGGTACTAGAGAGTTTGGAGGTACTGTGCACCTTCATGAACGTACCTATGTGTCTTTAAAATTTCATCTAAGTCTTTTCTCCTCCTAAGATTTATATTTGGATACACACACATACTTAGTTTTCGTTGTTTTGAGTAATGAAACTCACATAATACAAAAATTGGCATTTTAGGGTCCTATGATCATACTGTGAAGATGTTTGATACACGAACAAACAAGAGTGTGATCTCTGTTGAGCATGGGCAGCCAGTGGAAGGTGTCCTGCTTTTTCCCTCTGGAGGTCTTCTGGCATCAGCAGGTATTTTAAAAATTACTTTTCCAATACTGTTGGTCTTGAATTAGTTGTTTTTTTAATCAGTTACTTTTTATAATTTAACACTGTGCCCTTGAATTGCATACCTACGTTTTGGTCAACTGATAAGTAGGGCAGGCCAGCAGTTACTATTTATTGAGTACTTAATGTGAGCCAGATACTGTGCTATTATATACACGTTATTGAGCCTAGAAGGTAATTAGTTTTCTCCCTATTTTGCAACTAAGGAAATAAATAAGAGTTATTAAATTAATTTTTCCAAGATAGAGTGATAGATCTGAAATCTTAAAACTTGAGAGCCTGCATTGTGTATTTACCAAAAATCCAGGTTGTATTCCTGTCATTCCTACCTAAGAGATCCATGACAGCTTTTGAAAACACATTTCTTTCCGTTCTAGAATCAGGCTTGTCTTTTTTTATGTCTCTCGATTGAAATGACTTTACCCAGCAAATAGCCAGTAGTTCTGGAAGAGGATATAATATGGAGTCAAAAGGGGTCTTGATACATTTTTTTCATCAAGTTGGAACTGAGGTATTTTTTTTTTTGTTATGTTGATCATAGAGCATTTTCAAAATTAGAGTGGAAGAAGTAAATTGGCTTTTTTCATTTATCAAGTCAAAATTAATGTGTTGACAGTAGAATACATAGGTAGTATGTGTAATATATGGCATATATATGGCTGTGTGTAGCCTTTTTTTCCTTCATTTTAAAATCCAAATAAAAATTACCCTGTTTTGTACTTCTTCCCCAGTACCTCTTTAATTTCAAAATAAATTAATAACATTGACAGATGTATCCATTTTTCTTGCTGTTATTTTGAGAAATGGAAGTAAGTTCAAGTTGAACAGGGAGAATGGACACCTGTATACTAATCTTCACTGTGTCACTAGCTAATTGTATGACCTTGGGCAGTCCCTTCACTCAACTCCTGTAGACTCTGAAAATGAGAGTTTGGATAGGATCAGTTATTTTAAATTGTGCTCTCATGAGCTGCCATATGTGGTGAGACAGGGACTATGAATTGGCTTACAGCCCCACTTTCCCAGTCAGGATAGATAAGACCTTTGCTTCTCCCTCTCCAGCTCGTTTTTCTATTTTACCTTCTAGACTTTTGCCAAATATATCAATGAAATGAAAGATGCTGTATTAAAAGAATTCTTTTTAAACTATTGGATTAAATTGCCTTTAAGGACCATCTAACTCTTAGAGTAGAAGTTATAGGGAAGTTTTTCAAATGAGTAACTATATTACTCATTTCCATAGTGACACAAAATTTCTTTTGCAGGATGATTTTATTACAGTTTTCTTAGTAGTTTTTGGTTATACTTTTTATTGTGCTAGGCAGTTCTGTAAACTTTACAAATATGCAGTTATCTAATCACCAAAACAGTTCTTTGAGGTAGGAACTATTATTATTCTCAGTTACAAACTCAGTAAGTGGATAGAGCCAGCATTGAAACCAGGCAGTTTTGCTCTGGGACCCCTCACTTCACCTCCATGCTGTATAGTCTCCAGTGTAAAATGCTTTTCAGATCTTTAAAATATTGAATGTTTAGGCAGAATTTCAAACTAAAGATTATTTCTTTTTGTAGGAGGCCGTTACGTTAAAATCTGGGACATGCTGAAAGGAGGACAGTTGCTAGTGTCTTTGAAAAATCATCATAAAACTGTGACGTGTTTATATCTGAGCAGCTCTGGACAGAGGTTACTTTCTGGGTCACTGGATAGGTTAGCATTTTAATTTTCTTTATTATTACTAGTGTACAAGTATTTACTGCTCGAGGAAATGAGTTATTTCTGAAGTATTTGTGCTAAAGTAAATATTCTGTCAAATGATTTCTGTGAAAAAAAAAATCTTTTCAGCTGAAAATAGTTTTGACCTTTTATTCACATACAGCAAACTTTTTTTCTCACTTGACATAACAGTGCTTTAACTTATATACTTAAGGAATTTTATTGAACCATTTGAACATTGATCTTTTAAAATAGTCTGTTATTCTGTGGTTTCTTTAAAAATCCTTATTGTATATTTAAAAATATTTACAGTGAGTATATGTATATATCCTAGCTTATATTCAAATTTAAAACTTCATGTGACTATGGACTCTGAAGAACAAATGGAGGGTTCTAGAGGGGAGGGAGGTGAAGGGATGGGTTAGCCTGGCGATGGGTAATAAGGAGGGCACGTTCTGCATGGAGCACTGGGTGTTATATGCAAACAATGAATCATGGAACACTACATCAAAAACTAATGATGTAATGTATGGTGATTAACATAGCATAATAAAAAAATAAGTAAATATGTTCACATGGAACATTGAAAAAAACTTAATGTGAAAATTTCTATACATTTATGTGATTCAAATATTACTATTTTAAGTAGGTATTAGTATTCTATTAGTTAATGTTCTAGAACAGTGTTGTCCAACAGAAACATTATGTGGGCTACGTATGTAATTTTAAGTGTTTTAGTAGCCACATTAAAAAGGCAAAAAGAACTAGGTTTCATTAATAATATATTATTTAGTTCAGTGTATCTAAAATATTATTTCAATATGTAATTGATGTAAAAATTATTACCGAGAAACTAGAGACAAGCATCCGATACATGTCCTGTGATACAGTAATAATATTGTATAGTGATTAAAGTGAAATATAGTTGTGTTTAACAGAAAAATATTTTTTACACTACCGCAGTTTTTAAATTAAAATTTAGGTTAATTAAAATCAGGTAAAATTAAAAATGTGGTTCTTCATTTTCACTGGCCACATTTCAAGTGCTCAGTAGCATGTGGCTAGAACTATGGCACAGTTCCAGGATTTATTCGTAGTTATTTGTTTTTGGTCATTTTATTTCCATATTTCCTGTTTCCATTGTTATGGAAAGCTTTGGTTTTTCAGTATGTTTATAAAAATGTATACGTATTTTATGGAGTGCCTTGGGGTGCCAGTCCATTAAGCATCTGCCTTCGGCTCAGGTCATGAACCCAAGGTCCTGGGATCGAGTCCCACATTGGGCTCCCTGCTCAGTGGGGAGTCTGCTTCTCCCTCTGCCTGCACCCCCTGCTTGGGCTCTCTCTCTCTGTCAAATAAATAAAATCTTTAAAAAAAAGCATACCCATTTTAAAAGCTAGAATGTATTTTTAACAGAAAGGAATTTATCATGTAAATACGGAGCAGACTCTCTGAAGTGCTGTTACTAGGCAGTTTGGGGCTCCATATTTAGATGTGTCTCTCAAAAATCAAGTGCGAGTTGGCTCTCTTCACAGTAGTCGTCAACCCAGAGTGGGTTTTATCTCTCAGAGGATGTGTGGCAACATCTGGAGGCATTTTTGGATGTTGTTGGAAGTTGGTGGAGTGCCGCTGGTGTACAGTGAGTAGCGGTTGCTGAACAGCCTACCGTGCACGAATAGTCCCCACAACAAAGGAGTATCTGGCCCATAGTGTAACTCACGTTGATGTTGAGAAACCCTGCTATTTTGGTTCCCAGGTGCTTTGAAACCTTTCTTTTTACTCTCAGGTTTCATCGTCAGTGGTTCATGGTCTGTGGTTCATGATCTGTCCTTCTGGTGGCTAGTCAAATCTTTATATAAATATAGTTACTGCTAATAGTTCATTTTTAAAAGGGATGCAGTGATGAATTTATAATTATATTATTAATCATTATTTTTCTTTATTGCTGTGTAAATTTTAATATTTATACATTGAGTTTCTTAAAAAATTGGAAATTTGCATTTTATACTCATTTCCTCGGTGATTTGTAACAAAGCTTTCTTTTTTATTAGGAAGGTGAAAGTATATAGCACGACTTCCTATAAAGTAGTCCACAGTTTTGATTATGCAGCTTCAATTTTGAGTCTTGCACTTGCAGTAAGTACTTCTGGTTCTTTTTAAAGATTTCACTAACCTTGTCTGTTAAACTAAAATGGAATTTTAGGGTTCATCTTTGTATTTGAGTAAATCTTGCTTCTTGCCATATTAGATAGTTGAGTTAAGACAATTTCTATTATATGACTTGTCCCAAAAATTTACTATGAATTGAGATTTAGGTCTTGCCCACTGTTATGTAGGTTCAAACCAAGTACAGCTGTAGGCATTGTTAACACTAAGAGCAGGATCTGGGAATGTCCACTGTCAAGTTTCGTGAGCCGTTGAAGAAGAGGATATTTGAATCTGAATTAGAAGAGGAAAAGCTTATTACAAAATATTTTCTTGGCAAGAAATCTGAATTAGAAGAGGAAAAGCTTATTACAAAATATTTTCTTGGCAAGATTGTGGAAAGTCATGGTATCATGCAATCCTTTTTCTAGTAAGAGGATGCAGGAAAAAAAACTATTTTGGAAGTTTCCTAAGATGTCATTAACTGTATTATTATACAGTGATAATTTACACCAGGTATAACATGTTCCATCAATATACTAGTATTCTGGAGGAAAAAATGATTTATCTAACTTTTTGCATGGATCATTGTTAGGCAGAGTATATCTCATTGGAACTCTTGGTGAAAGTATGGATAAGCAGAAAACACGTTATAAATGGTGTTTTGAAGAAAAACTAAGATAAATGATGGGTTAGGAATAGACTAACTTATTTTTCTAATTGCTCTTAGCATGAAGATGAGACAATAGTTGTAGGAATGACCAATGGAATACTGAGTGTTAAACATCGGAAATCTGAAGCCAAGAAGGATTCTCTTCCAAGAAGAAGAAGGCCTGCATATCGAACTTTTATTAAAGGAAAAAATTACATGAAGCAACGGGTATTTGCATATTTCTTACATTTTTTTTTTTAGAAAGCGTAGTTTGTTAGAGTAGTCAACTCCATCCCTGCATGTTACTGGAAAGTGCAGTTCACATGGGATTTAACTTTATTTTGCTTTTCTCTACATTAATTCTCTCTTAGATTGCTAGTTTGGGGACATTATTAATAAGTAATGGGGAATAAGGACTACTTTAATACCCTGAATCATAACAATGTTACAGTATTTTACCATATTCAAAACAATGTCTTTGACACACTATCTGATTTGATCTCCTAAACAACTCTGAACAGTAGTAGAGCCAGTTATGTGCCCGTTTGGCATTTGAGAAGATGGAGATGCAAATAAGTTCTGGTCAATCCAGCATCTTATTACTGGTAACCAGAGTCATTGGGACTAAATCTCAGTTTCTCCCATCTTTGTTTTCTCTTTCTACTAAGTCATGCTGCTTGCCATGTGAAGAGAATTGAAATGAGTAATGTTTTCCCAGAGTGAGGTATTGTGTACCTGTTCTAAGTTAAATCATTGGAGAGTAAGAACACATTGATGTAGCAGATTATTCCATTTTCAGTTAGTCTGCATTCTGGGCACATGCCCATTATTCATAATACACTTCAGGGTCACCCAGGCATAAAAAAAATCCACAATGAAAAAATTTGTTTTGAATGAAACTCTATACACATACTGACTTTTTTTTTTATAAATTTATTTTGTCATACAGGATGACATTTTGATCAACAGGCCATCAAAGAAACACCTAGAGTTATATGACAGGGATCTGAAAAATTTCCGGATCTCTAAGGCACTTGATAGAGTCCTTGAGGTGAGTGAGGACCATATATACATATATAGTATGCTCTGTCTATGAGTGAGAGAATGTGTGTGTATGTGTGTGTGTGAGTGTGTGAGCATATATATATATATATATATATATATATATATATATAGTATCTTCTCTGAGTGAGAATGTGTGTGTGTGAGCATATATACATATATAGTATGCTCTCTGAGTGAGAGTGTGTGTGTGAGCGTATATACATATATAGTATGCTCTCTCTGTGAGTGTGTGTGTGCATATAAACATATATAGTACGCTCTCTGTGAGTGAGAGATTGTGTGTGTGTGAGCATATATACATATATAGTACGCTCTCTCCGTGAGTGAGAGAGTGTGTGTGTGTGTGAGAGCATGTATACATATATAATATGCTCTCTCTGTGAGTGAGAGAGTGTGTGTGTGTGAGCATATATACATATATAGTATGCTCTCTCTATGAGTGAGTGTGTGTGTGTGTGAGCGTATATACATATATAGTATGCTCTCTGAGTGAGAGAGAATGTGTGTGTCTGAGCATATATACATATATAGTATGCTCTCAGTGAGTGAGAGTGTGTGTATGTGAGCATATATACATATATAGTATGCTGAGTAGGAGAGTGTGTGTGTGTTTGTGTGAGCATACATATATAGTATGCTCTCTGAGAGTGTGTGTGTGTGTGTGTGTGTGAGCATTATATACATATAGAGTATGTTCTCTGAGTAGGAGAGTGTGTGTGTGTGAGCATATATACATATATAGTATGCTCTGAGTGTGTGTGTGTGAGCATGTATACATATATAGTATGCTCTGAGTGTGTGTGTGTG